ACAATATGGTTCATGGGGTCACGAAGAGTCGGACACGACTTAACGACTGAACAACAAATATAATATTTTCATTTACAATAAAAATGCTAGTACTTTGGCTAAATACATTAAGTTGGGAATAGAAGAATTTGTTGAAGTATCAGGATTTATAGCAAATTTTCAAAAGTCACAGTTAATGTTCTTTGATACCTCTTCTAAAATACAGAGTGATACCTAATATTTTGAAAATCTCCTACTTGGTGTCTCTTTAATTTCTCTATTGTTATGAAGTGCCACTGCTAATGTTTCTTTAACAAAATTAAATAATAGAGAGGATAAAGCACAACCCTGCTTCATACCTCTTCAGATTAGGAATATCAATTGAACTGTGGAGTCCTTGGTGCTCTCTGAGCTTGGTTGTTTGCTTCCAGATGTTTCATTACCTAACTAGGTAATATTATCAGTGCTAGTGAATGTGGGGTTTGTTCTCTGTTTATTTGCAGTAGCTTGCTCTGCCAGTGTTGGTGGGGGTGTGGTTTTAGGAATTGTTCTGAATTGTAATTATTTTTATTTGGTCATTGGTGAGACTTCTAGTGGATCTTTACCTAATTAGAATTATCTTATAGTCATTCCAGAACAATCGAAGCAGATTTCTGTAATGCAGTGCATTGCCTAGTGACAAGAAATTAGATTTTTTTAAAAAAAGGTTTGAATGCCTTACAGAATTCACCTGTCAATTCATCTCAACCTAGCACTTTTCCATTTTAAAAATTAACCAACCTCTGATTTTGCAATGGAGAATCCAAATATTGAGCATCCATGAAGGATAATTCAGAAAATTCAATATATCTAAATTCTTATCATTATTTTTTTTCTTTTGCTGGACTACCTGAATAATATGTAAAGCATTTTGTTAATGGATACATAGTTCCTCAAATATCAATAAGCTCATGAAGTTGCATCAGCCTATATCAGTCTGCAATCTCTTTAATACTAAAGATTTCTTCTGTTTTTCTGATGACTTATTCCATTCCCCAGGTGTACCTGCATGAATATTTAAATTGCCCCCTAGAACCAAATTCTCTCAAGCAAATTTATTCATGGCTGTCATTACTTTTTGTATAAATCTAATTTGATTCTGATCTGGTGCATATATAGAAGTCAATTGTTACAATGTTATTATTAAATGTCCCTTCAATAAAAAATATATCCTCTCTTTCTATCTTTTTGAATCTTCTCTACTGTAAAATCAATATTAACTTTAAACAAGATGGCTATCCCCTCTTTATTTATTAGTCAATTTCACCCCCCCCAAAAAAAACCCTTCAATTTTATGTTTTCTAGAACATAACCACAGGCAGGGTAAAAAAAATTTAATGCTTACTGATTCTAGTTCTTTCTCTAGAAACTCTAATTCTATCAAATCTCCTGACTCATTTAGAGAAACTATCTGATACTGTTCATCCATTGCCCTATTACACTTCTCCTGTTCTTGTCTTGCTCACCATTCCTACAAATTAAACTTATCAGCAGTAAAACCCTACTTATCTTATAAGCCAACAATACTGACTAAATTTGTGAATGGCTTAAAAATTATTATCTGTCCTTTTTGCCTCCTATACCTCCTTTCCCCAATCCTCCCCAAGTTCTCCTTTCTATTCATCCTCCCATTTTCTCCCTCACAACCCCTTAAAATGACATGTGGACAGAAGTTCACAGAGGATTAATTAAATCCATTAATTCATCTAATTAGGAGAGTGCTACATTGAGCTCTAACTTCCCCCTTTTCACCTTCTCTTGTCTTATACTGGATTACTGTAACTTCTTGCTGTTCTCAGTTTTATATCTCACTTTTCCCCAACTAATATGAAACAATATTAAACATTTATTTTATAACAGTCTACCATCTTGTAAGTACTAAATGTCAAAAGATCCTTTTATCAGATCTTATAAAGATAAATTCTTTAAGCATCAAAGATCTCTATTAGTTCTTTGCAAAGTGTTCCTTAGTTTTGTTAAAACTCTATTTGTCTCTTAAAGCACAGAAATAGTCTCTTATCCTTATGGTTGAAATAACACTAGCTTGAAAGGAATCCCCCATTTATATCTATTCTGCTTTTTGATAATTCTTTTGTGAAAGGCTTGAAGGCTGTTCTTTGTAACATGGCAAAACTAATAACTTCAAAAAATAACATTTTATCTCCATCCTAATTTACCTCTTCCAGACCAAGAATCTTTTGCAAAATTCTGTCTCTCGCTTGAGCATTCACAAATATTATATCCCTTGGTTTTTGCATTCAGTGGAACCTAGGAATAAAGACTCTATGGATGGATTCCACATCTTTAGCTGAATGTTTTCTGGTAGTAAAAGGTACTCCTCCCATACACAAGTAAACTGCATTCACTACCAAACCTATGAGATGCCCCCCCAATACATATGAACTGCTTAGTCCCCTTATAAGGAAACATTCACAGCAAGCTGAAGTGACCCTAAGTAGTGACAGCAAGAAAACTCAGTCAGGAACCTGTGGCCCAGTAAACCAAATTGTGTCTATTCACTGACCATATTTCAAAGATAGTATGGCTAGCTGATCTGATAGGAAGGGATAAATAATAATAATGTCACACAGATAGGTTTATCTGAAATATTCTGACGTCATGCTGTAATTTCCACTGTGTCTTCCTTTTTTCTTTGTTTTGCTTTTGCCTTTTTTTGCCTTGCAATGTAGCGGGCCAAAGTTTTATAAGTCCTAGTTCTGTTTTTGCTCATTGTCACTCAGCAAAGTATCAAAGCTTTGCTGGGGGTCCAGTATATACTATATTATTGCTTGTATGCATAAAAATAAAATTATGTTGTATCTTCAAAGTGATTTGGTTGGTTTAGGCGAGCCAGGTTTTGGCCACAACAATTTTAAATCCTATAGCTTGTCATTATGTTGTGAGATAAGATATCCAATCAAATCATTCTTTTCCACATTTTCTCTAGTTCTTCTAGTTCTTCTAATTCTCAAATTATTTATTGAGTTCTCATCCTATATATCAGCCAAAATTAGTTTAATGTCTCCAATCTTTCTGAACCTTTCCAGTATCAGGTTCATTTTTGTAGCGACATCATACGTTTTACTAGCAGTCTGGACGGCCTTTGAAATTTGAGAAGACAATTCTTTTTTTTATTAGCTTGCTCAAATGTATCTGCCAAGTCCTGACAGATAGTATTAACTGACTTTGTTTATTATGCCTTTAGTTTTTGTTTGAGTTGCTTAATTAGATTTCCTATCAAGTTAGTTTCAAACCTTTGTTCCAAATGTTGCTTGATTTTTGTGTGCTGCATTGGAATACCATCCTCTCCCATCATTTCTTCTTTAGTTCTAGAGTAGTGTGCCACTTCAGCAGCTTTTGGATCATCCATATAAGCCTTAGTTCCTCTATTTGAGAATTACTTTCCTAAACATCTTTTTATTATTAATCTTGCCAATTAGTTGAATATTAGTCAAATATGAATGGTGAAAATTATTGAAAAAGCTGAGTCAGGAAGAGAGCAATCAGCTCAATAAGCCCATCTTCTTTATTGTCTAGCTATGCTCTGATTTATCTGTGGTTTTTGACATGCAGTTCTGATCTTCTCCCTACTTTTTATGTCTATATCAAGCTGCTGGAATGGGTCAACCATCAGTTCAGAGTGAGCTATCATCTATATACTGTTGATGTTCAAATATATATCTCTACCCTGAACCATCCAGAAGACAGTTGAAATCTTTACAGTGCCTGGAAACTGTTAGGTGCTGGATGAAAACAACAAGCTGAAATCGAATCTCTGCAAGATGGAGTTGCTGTTTGCAAAGACATCATTGAGGTCTCTATCCTCTCCAGTTGTAGCTCTGGACAGGATGGCACTGTCACTGAAGGAGCAGATCTGTGACTTAGGGGTCTTCTAGTTTCACAGTTTCTGCTAGTGGGTAGGGGAGCCTTTGTCCAGCTTCAACAGGTATACCAGTTGTGGCCCTTGAACAAGTGGTCCTGGTAACAGCAACTCATGCCTTTAACAGTTTAGGATTGACTACTGCAATGTATCACATGGGGCCACTTTTGAAGACAACTGGAAGATACAGCTGGTATAAAATGCTGTACCCTGCCTATTGCCATAACTAACACTGGTTTTGATAATGCTGCATTGGCTTCTAGTAGGCTTCTGAGTACAGTTTAAAGGTTTAACCTATAAAGTCCTTCATGACTTGGCCCCAGGTATCTTCATGTCCACCTCGCTCAGTAAAACCAAAAAAAATTGCTGGGAGTTCATATAGAGTTGATGATATATAAATATTGAAAATAAATAATCTGTGAGACTTTTTATGATATTTAGAGAGGGCAATAGCAAAATTTTATAAGGATTTTATATTTAAATAACTAAGTAAATAAATGCTTTCCCAGAGTATCACTTTAGCTACAGGTAGTCCTCAGGTTAAAACAGCAATTAGGACTGGGATTGCCATCACTAAGCAATGTGGTCATAAAGCGTGATGTCACATGACCACATCACTTAGCAACAACAATCCTGGCAGTCCTGGTTGCCGTCATAACCCCAAGATGCGCTGGAAGTAGCAGGAGTCCCAGGTAAGGAGTACGGGAGTGCCGCAGGGGGGTGGGGAAGACCCTGGGAAGGCCGATGCAGATTATGTGCAAGTTGGGGGAGGGTTTGGGAGGCTTGGTACAGGCTGTGTGTGAGCTCAGGAAGGCCAGGGAATGGATGGCACAGTGAGGCACAAGCACAGGAAGGCTGGGGTGGATGGCGCAGTGGGGTGTGACAACACAGGGTGGACAATGCAGCGTGACCACAGGAAGGCCAGGGGATGGATGGCATGAGTGCAAGAAGGCCAGGAGGGACTTACCAGAGCAACGTGCAATCTTCCCCGCTAGCTTCCCCCCTGACTTTGCTTTTGGGGAGCCAGCAGGGAAGATGGTGGTCTTATGATTGCAAGATGCTGCAACTGTTCTAGTGTGAGCCAGTTGCCAAGTGCCCAAATTGCAATCACATCACCCTGGGGGTGCTGTAATGGCTGGAACTTCAAGGACTGGTCATAAGTATCACTCATTCAGCACCATCGCAACTTTGAATGGTCACTGAACGTGTGGTCAGTAAGTGAGGACTACTTGTATTGGAACCATATGCTGTTTCAAAATATCATCAGAGAACACCAGTGATATCCCTAAATACTGTGAGGAACCTTTAGCAAGCAAAGAAACCTATTGGTAATGTAGTATCATCAGTATAATATGAATGTAATACAGTCTTCAAGCATGGATTATGATGAAAACGTAGTAGATTTTTTAAATTAGAGTTTCATGTCTTCCACAATATAAAAAATAAGACATTTCTAGTTAAATAATCCTAATCCAAACCTCAGCCCCCCCCCCAAAAAAAAGGTTGCCTGTTGCTGTCCTATGGGGAACAAAAAGCCCAGCTTCTGCATATCTACAACAAAGGGTACAATAATTTACTTTTATTCCTCTGCAAGAGGATACTGCAACATACTACAACAGAGAAAAGCAGAAAAACTGCATCTCTGCAAAGGATCATTCATTTACCTATAAGAAAGACAAACTCTCACGACCTCTTTCTATGTATTTCTTCCCAGCCCTATAGCACATGGGTAACACATGTGCAAAGCAGGATGGACATATCTTAAGTTAAGGATCTGAATGGAATTTGGTAACAGAATATGATTAGATAAAAACAGATTATAACGTGTGTCTTGATTTGATTGCAGTGAGAATCTGGTGTCTTCAGATGATCTGTTGGCTTGGCTTAGGCCTTTCTGTGGAGATGAGTCTTTACCAGTGAAGCCTCGCATAAAAGTGCTACAGATTTTGGAGCAAGCCTTTCACCTAAGCGACGAGGACAGCAAGCTGCTTGTGCTATTCAGAACACAAGCTGTTCTCAGAGCCTGTTGGCCCCAGACTCAGGTAGGCAATCTTATAGAGTGTTTGCTCTTTACAAATAAGTTATTTATAAAATGGTAGTTGCTGGACCTTCATTCAACATTTAGGTGTACAGAGCTCTTATGGGTTTCTTCTCAAATCTGTTAAATAGAGGCTTGTTTGTATTGATTATTTTTTCTCTTAAACTAATGAATATCTAGGGTGATTTTTCATTTTTAAATTCCTGCTCTTTGTTAATGAGTTTTAATAAAATTAAAATTAAAACTGTAAATTAAAAATAAAGACCTTGGGCATGTGGCATGAAAATACATATAACTGTGGAGTCCTTGGTACTCTCTAAGCTTGCTTGTTTCAAGCAGACAACAATCAAGCAGAAAATAATACCCTAATCAAGGAACTACCAAGGAGAAAACCACACCTCCACCAACACTGGCAAAGCAA